GCTGATGTGCGAACATCTTTTTATTTTTAAATGAAAATTGTAAACGTTTCAGTCCTAACAATTTGAACTTTCTTCAGTACAATTAATATTATAGTATAAATCCAACGATGCTAATGACACTTGCCTATTCGTTATCCTTTAATATTGTTATTTAGAGATTTATCAATTTCTGTATTATATTTTCTTTTACAATACGACATCCCCAAATACTCTCGAGCAAAAATTGAAATGAGTCTCTGTACTAGTGAATATTATTTTACATCAATAGAATAAATTTTGAAAAAAATTATCACATATATTTCGACTTTTAGCGACATTGTTGCCTGTCGGCATTTTATAACCGCGCAAAAGACTGAATTTATATATATACATATATATATATATATATATATATATATATATATCGCATCCCTGTTTCAATAGTGCCATATCCTTAAAAATTTCAAAATTCATTTTTTTTGCCCAACGTATACATTATGACGATGCCTACAAGGTGTAAAAGTGCCATATCAATAATTCTAATAAATTCCATGTGAGGCGCCATGTGTCATTATTACGATTAACTATTTCGCATTACATGCAACAAGAATTTCTTAGAATTTCACACTAAATGTCACATCACTAATTGGTAAAGCCAACTTCAATCTATATGTATACCGAATTTGGTAAGCCTAAGTTGTAAAGTTGCTAACCAAAAAAATATTACGTTCACACAAAATTTCATTTTGGCTCTCCTGTAAAATTAAAATTTTCGAGGTTATGGCACTATTGAAACAGGGGTGCGATATATATATATGTATATATATATATATATATATATATATATATATATATATATATGTATGTATGTATGTATATATAAATAAATATATATATATATATATATATATATGTATATCAGTTTTACATAAATTCCCTTTATTATTTGTTCGCGCGCCTCAACTCTATTGATCTGTCGACAATATACAGAGCTAGAGAATCAAAAGCTCTCCATTTGATTTTCAAAGCAGCAGTGCGTACCGAAGAGACACGCGCGGTATCGGAAATGCCGTGACGTCGACGGCGACATTTCGATGAATCGGCACGACCGATAAATCCAAGCGGCGGCGACTTTTCCGCCAGCTTTGACCTCTTGCATGCGCGTGCGATCCTCGCCTCGGTGATCGGATTTCTGCTGCGCCTGCCGCTCGTTTCACAATATTATTGTCGCGTCGCTGTTTGTCAAGCACGTGCTGTAACCAATACTCAGCGAAACGATTCGCGATGCAAATCAATTCAGTAGTTTCCTTTTTTAAGCAAACTAGACGAAAATTCACTCGACACGACCTAAGAACGTTAAAGTTGTATCGAAACAAGAAAAAGTGAGACATTATCCGGGTGTAACGAAAGATAAATATCGAGTCGACGTTGCTGTCCGACGAACATAGTGTCGAGCATCCATCAGCAACACGTCCCTCCCCGCATGCTCCGCGTTCGCGGCCGAGTAGTCGCGATCGAGGCGTTAATGGAATCCTCGCGGCACGGTTAACACAGTGACCTTAAGTAAAACGTCCTCGCTCGCTGTTGCGCCTTTGACCCTCTCGTCGCAACAACGCGAGCTACGCTCGTTCCCTCCGACGCAGAGAACAAGAGGAGAGACGTGTAAATCGCGAAGACTCCAACTACCAGAGTGTATTTTCACGCGTTCGCTCTCGTATGTACGCTATTTGATACATGTAAAGAATATATATGGGGTAGTAGCACGACCCGTTGCTAGATCACGTGTTCAGGTCGATGGACTTTATTTCGCCCGATTGTCAATGTTTTCTAAGTGAATGAAAAACAATGGCATTGATTCGTGCCAATGACATGTTTACGCATGATAAAGGCAGGAAGAGATAACGATGCAGGATTCGAGGACACGCTACGTTAAAATCAGAAAAAATAGAGTAAAATAACAAATTACAAATTGCATGAGAAAGTGAGAGTTGAGCGAAGTTTTGCACATGCTCAAATATACGACGAGCTGACTAGAAGATTCTATGGGACTGAAACGATAAATGAAAACTGTCGGCCCTGCGCAGGCATTCGAGCTTTTCCGTCTCTCTCTCTTTCTCTCTCTCTCTCACACACACTCTCTCTCTCTCTCTCTTTCTCTCTTATTCTCCGTCACGATACTAGAACACGCAGGAGGCGCGAGCGACCCATTCTTATGCGTGGTGGATGCGTGTGCGTGACTGCCATGTGACGAGGCGGATTCTAGTGTGCCCCGGTGGATTGGAGTTCCATGGAGAGACGCGTGCGAGTAATGCGAGTGAAGAAGGAACAGGACGGAAACAGAGAAGGAGCGAGTAGGAGAAACCGATGGCACGTCAGCGGGAAAGGAGTGGAGGACAAACGCGGTGGGGCAGTTCGTGGAATGTCCCGTCGTCTCGGGCGAACAACAGTCCGGCTCCTCCGGAACTCCGATGGAGAACAGGCTCGGTTCTTGCGGCACGACTGGTTGTTGCTCGCTCGCCGCCTGCTGCCCGGTTTGCCCGACTTGCGCATTGCCTTGGCTCAACTTACGTCGCCGGTTCGACAATCAACGGTCGAGGCCTTCCTTCCCTCCATCGGCTCCTACTCTACACCGGCCACCGCGAAGACGAGGCGCGCAATATACTGCAACACAGTGTTTCCTAAAGCGACTCGCTGTCTGCGCGCGTTTTACCCTGGGACTCTTGCTCAAAATTATATAACATCGCCAAAATATTTATTTTTTCGTCTAATAGACGTGCCTTACAACGTGCCTTCTTTCAAACGCGCCTCATCCTTACTGTCGCTTGAAAAGACCCCTTCGCGTTGATGAAGCCCCAAAAACCCGGCCGATCAACGCCCCGTAATGATTCTACCAATTTGTAGAGATAACACCGCGTTTCGTTATTCCGTCACGCCCATCTCACGAGAGAACGCTGCAGAATCATCGATTATCGAAGTGGGCCAGAAATGCAACCGGGTCAAGTCCACTTTTGGCAAAAATTCGACTCGCTACAAATTTTTGTCTAGATACGTGTGTGAAAATTTCGTCCGTGCGTTATACTTTTCTTGGCGTTTCCCCGTATAGCTACGTCTCTTCAATTAACGAAAGTAACTTGTTGCACACGCGATATCGCGCAGTCGACCGTGCGTGTACGTGAGCGCGTGGACGGTGTTGCGTTTCAGATACGATCGATGAATGTTCGCAATGTGTGGCAAAGACTCTTTCATGTTCCGCACAGCGGAATCGTTAATTATACCTCCGCCCGATTGTCCTTGAATGACGGATCGCTCATACCGACATATTAACCGCTAATTGCAACGGAGGTCGAACAAAAATTTGCAGATGGTGTCGCCGCGGTGTATTGACTGGTAAAATTATTCCGTTTCTAAATACGATTGATAAAAATATTGAACAAAAAAGCGACAATTTCTTTAGAAAGCAAAACTGAAACACAGACTCAAGTGGACATAAAGGCAGCAAAGTATTCATATTTGTAAAGAATTTCGAGATGATCGATTCGGAAGTATGGAATTTTATGGCAATTCCTTAAATTCGAATAAGTATACGCATTGTTTTCTTTCAAATCGGTCCTCGTTGGGAAAGAAGTCCCTTCCCTTCTACGCCTATACACCGAGGTCAATTCCCCGAAGGCCGTCCTTCCGGGACTGGCAGGCTGGCGTGAGAACAAGGTTGCACGTATATGGTAGATAACAGCGGAATCATTCCCGATGGAAGAAGAAACGATTGAGACGTGACGACACGGAGAGGAGAACTTTGTCTACCCTTGGCTGTGTTGACGATTCAGAATAGATAAAGAGGACTAGCGAAAATCCCCCCTTCGTCTGGGGAAGCGCTCTTCTATTTTCACAACTTTATTTATAGCGTTCTGTTTGGGTTCTTCGCCAAAGACCACCAACATCTAAGAAAACTCCTTCTAATCCGTCCACATGTTGGCTACCGATCGTGGAATAGGATACAACGACGATTAAAATTGGAGGTCCACTACAGTGGACTAGTCTCGATGTTTGAATGGGGCTTCGAGAAGAGACGGCGAGAACGGAACGTTTCACAAACAGGTAACGATATAGCGCAATGCGCGCTGGGAACAGGTTGGGCTAGACTAGACGCGAGACTGTAGATGTGAGTGAATCGAGAATTGTGAATTAATCAGGAAGCAAGAGAGAGAGAGAGAGAGAGAGAGAGAGAGAGAGAGTAGCGCACTCTAGCTCAGCTCGAGATTCAAACGAGCTCGCGAACGTGGTTTATTTATTTTCGTTTCACATGCAAGAGCGCAATGCCGACTCGAGCGAGGCGCTTGGCCGACCGACTCAGCGGTACGCCCGAGCTCGAACTCTCACCCGAACGATCGTCCACGATGGGTAACGAAAGAAAAAGGAAACGCATGAAACTTTTGACGTATAAACGTGCGTCTCGATGCTCGCGTCAATTCACAGCAGATTTTCAATTTCACGTGTGTGCGGTGTCGTAGGCGACAAGGCCACGGTTAAAACCCTCATTATCGTCATCCAATATGACGTGTACGCGCCGATTCTCTCTCTTTCTGGCGCACATATATGTAAAAGCGCGCAGGGCATATCTACGTCCCTGAGGAGAGCCTCGTGCCGTGCCTGGGCTCGCTCTCGCTCTCGCTCTAGCGGCCGTCACGGGCTCTCTCGTATTTGCTCACCCCGCCACTGCCGTCCCTTCATCCGCCGCTGCCTATCCCCTATCCAGATCCGCACACCAATCCCCCACTACGACCGCGGACGTCCCTCGGTGCGCGTTCGATACACGGAATCGCCTCGTGGTTCTCGGAAGGCAGTAGACTATCGTCAGCCACGCCAGACGGCGCACCGCTCGCACGCTCTCTCTCTCGTCGCGTATATTCGCTCACTGGCTCACCCGCTGCTGCCCTTCTCTCTCTCACTCACTCACTCGTCCGTGCGTCCTCTCTTCTCCTTTCCTTTCCCCTCCGCCCCCTTTCCTACCCTCACGCCACGTCTCTTCGCGCCACTCCATACGCTCTGTCTCGCAGCGCGGCTGCGGAGCCAGATACACGAACTCGCCAGTTACGCAACAATAACAACGCCGTGAGGAGCGTGTGTAGCGTGCGCGTGCACCGCAACGCAACGCAACGCGACACCGTGGGGCCGCGCGTTTGCATCCGACCGTCGCGGGGAATCACTTGTTGACAGCGGACGAACCCGTGCACGAATATCGTAGGAAAAATCTCTTCAGGAAAAAAAAAGGAGAGAGGAAGTAGGAACGATTGTTATCGTCGTCGTTATTCCCGCGCGCGAATTCCGACTCCGGCGAGGACGCGTGAAAGTACGTGAACGTACACGCGACTCGGGAGGAAATCGCGTGAGCAGAGAGGAACCCGATGCGATTTCGATCGCCCGATGTTGCACGCGCGAAAGCGTGACTTTGGACGTTCACCATTTCGCGAGAATAATCTGTGGAATTGACACGCGGTGCGCGATCGAGAAGAAAGTTTGAGTGTCCCGTTCTCGCGAAGCAGTATCTACTGAGAGCGACGATCGATGCGCAAGATCGATGACGAGAATCGAGAAATCTCGCAAGACCGAGTCGACACTCGCCTTCTCTGTCGATCAATGAATGGAGTAGTAGTTTTGAAGTGCCACGCGGCGTAGCACGAGCGACACCACGAGGTCCAGCAAGAGAAGCACGGATCGATCGCGGATCATCGGAAACTCGAGTCAGAATGGTACAGGAATCATTATGCCGGCAACATAGTGCTCTGTAAACCACGACGAGAGGTGATCGAGCAAGAGTGAAAGAATCTCGGTATATGATCGTCGAGAGTATTTGTCAACGAATGCAAAGCTCGATCAAAGGTGTCGAGGAATTGTCATTTATTCGATCCATAACGAGATTGTTGCATCGTATCGAAAATAAACGATGCGATAAATCTCAAGTCGCTACTACCGATCTCGACAAGGTCCCGAGAAGCGCGCGAGGTGTGCGAATGCCCACTCGCGACGCACGACGCGTTTAGGCGCCAATGACGTCACCGGTCGAGTGAGGCCGCCGCCGCCGCCACCGCTGCTGCCGTCGCCGTCGCCGTCGCCGCCGCTGCCGCCGCCGTCGCCGCTGCTGCTGCTGTCAGGGGAATTCGCGGTCGGGTTTCTCGCGCGCGCAGTGCGTTTACGCGCGCCGAGACATCCGGGCACGGCACGGCTGACAAGGCGCTACGCTCTCTGCCGTGATCGCGCTAACGATGCTGGTGGTAGTGGTGACCGCGCGGTAGTAGCAACGCGCGCGCGGCACATTCGGTATCGGTGTCGCCGTTGTGTGAAGTCGTGTGGTGGTATGCAGCGGTGTGTGGTTTGCTCGTCGTTGTGGTGGGGGTAAGAAGACCCCGTGGAATCGTTGCGCGGTGGCCGATTACACTTTTCTATGTATGTCGCTCGGCGGGCAATGACTAACTGCGCGAGTGGGTTAGAGAGAGACATCATCGACAGAGTAATTTTGGTGTTGTCATCGTCGTCGTCGTCGTTATACACATCAACGTCGGTCGGATGAGATTTGCATAGCAAACAGATTGACGCGCTTACAAGTGGATAACGAGAAGTGGAATCGGCGCGTTCCCTTCTGTAGTGCAAGACCTCGCGCGAGCGCCTGTGCGTTCTCTCTTCCCGTTCTGTATGCGTACGCGACTACGCGTACCTACGCGTCTGTGTGTGGCTGAGCATGTGAATATCACTTCGCATATATGTGTACGGCTGGCTCGCGGAGCAAAGAAAGAAGAGAGAGAGAGAGAGAGAGAGAGATAGATAGAGAGTACACGGACGAGGCAAGTGCAGAGCTTAAAATAGAAGAGTGACTTCGGCTTAAGTACGCGGTGGGAGGACGAGCGAGTAAAGTGAAACGGAGAGAGGGTGGATATGTTCACTCCTCCCCGGCCGTCTTCCCCTTCCTCCGCGTCGTGCTTCTGTGATACGTTCGAATTCTACGCTTCTCCGTGGGTGACCCGTGTCGAAGGGAGTAGCGAGAGGAACAACGAAGCTCGAGAGAACGACCAGAGTATACACATGTAGACACACACACATAAAGTATATTATACATATATATCGTGGCGGAGTGCGTGTTCTCTGTGATAATCGCATATAAAGTGCATATTGCAGTGGTAGACGCGAGAGAGTAATCCCTCTCTTTTTCTCTCTCGCGACTTTTTTCGCCCGACATCGCCGTATCGTCGACAAGGGAGGAGAGAAGGTTCGTCGATCCTCAACAGAGGCAGAGATCGCGCTGGTACTCGCGCACTCGCCTGCCGTTGAAGAAGAGGCGTCGTCTCGCTCTCTGTCCCACGCGATGGATCGTGACTCGCGTTCGTATTCCTGCGGAGGCTGTAAGAGGACCGCCGCCGAGAGCCGAGCTATGCCGATGGAGTAACAAGTGAGCGGCGAAGCGGCGTTGCCATGACGACAGGTGAACCACCAGCCTCTCCGCGTACCCCGCACGTTTCACCTTCTCTCTCTCTCTCTCTCTCTCTCTCTCTCTGCTTCTACACTGCCTGGCTACCAACCCCCCTCCCCCTCCTCTCGTGTCCCGCCGCCGCTCTCCGCGCGGTATGTTTGTCCCTCTTTTCCTCTGACCCCGTATACTCGCGAGATATGATGCGACAACAGTACCTCGATATCTCTTTCTCTCTCTCTCTCTCGTTCTTGCTCGATCTTTCTTCTTCTCACTTTCTCGCGCGTTGCGGCCACGCTCTCCGATCCGTCCCCTTCCACGTTCACCACTTCGTTCCTCTCCTACGTTCCTCCCTCTCAGAGCTCGCCACTTCGTTTTCCTTTTTCGGTCGCTCCCTTCCTTCCCTGCGGTCTCATCGTCTCGACACCGACGTGTTTTCGTGATACTCGGAAGGCAGAATGCGGTTATGAGAGAGAAGGAAAAAGACAGAGAGAGAAGAGATTCGAGTCCGCTTCGGCCAGTTTTGTACATTGTGAGTCGCGCGTAATGATCGCGTTATAAAAATTTACGAGGGATTCTGAGATCGTTATATGTCGAGTTTGTCCGTGTCAACTGCTGTTGATTCTTCTGCGTGCTCTTCTCCCGCTTTCGTTTTTACGAACGTCGCAGTGGTGACGTCCTCTCGAGATTCACAAAAATCTGACATCTCTTAAATTATTGCCGACAATATTTACTCGATCACTGATAACATTTGTCAACGAAACGAATCGTCCAGTCAACGGAGAGCGGATCGAAGAAGATTACGCTCTTACAAAGTTGCATGAAATAGACATCATTTTGAAAGAACGCAAATAGACCTTTGGCCACCGATTGGCCAGTACAATTTCTCCCTCTTTCCCAAATTGTTCGCGCTAAACATTGTTGCGCACGATCCAGTTTTTGTCCTGACCGATCAAAGAGTGTGCTCCACGCGTAATTGACGCCGCGGGATTCTTTATTCGTGTACACAAGATGATGCACCGCATGTAAATTAATACTTGTCGATGCTTTGTAATATCGGGGTATATCGTTGGCCATTCACGGTGTAATCGGTCGCAATCGCCGGCCTGTAGTCAAGCTCGTTGGTAGAGCGGAGTTGAACGACGCCGTTTTAGCATGCTTAGCGCGTAGGCCACGCGATATTCCAAGTACGCTCGGCTATTTTCATGCTACGCTAAGAAGCACGAGGAGCGAACGTACAAGTGCGCGCGCGCAATGTCTATAGCGGCGTGACACGACGACGAAGTGGTAACGGCGGTCTCTCCGCGTCGCACCATGCCGTATTAAGTCGGAATCGGCCAAGCCAAGTGGGATCGTCAGAATTTCTCTCAGTTTGTCGTCTATTCGTGGAAGGGACTCTCCGACCAGAGTTACAAGGCTTGCTTCGAACCACAACGATTCCGCGCTTGTAGATATTTTTACGAAGAAGAATAGAGCTGCACGAATGTGTGCTCTTACGTTGCGCGCGTTCCAAGAGATTCCTTCCCTTCCCGTCTCGTTCCGTCCAAATCGTGCGATCTACAACGTGTGCTTTCTTTTTTTAACTCGAGAAACATAGGACACTCTTTTCGCACTTGTCCCTAACCTATACGAGTAGAAAGAGATGGGATCAAAGATAAATAATTAAGCCTAAAGATTCTTTGAGTTATACACTATGTAGATTCTTTGAGACATACGCTAGGAACTTGTCGGCTGTTTTGTACGCACGCAAAAACGATAATAGAAGCATACGAAACAAATTTAAAAAAGACGTAAAACTAAGGAGATTTGGAAACTTAGTCGAAGGTTCGGGACTTAGTCGAGTGACATAGGACCGATTGTTCCAACCTCTTGGTGAGCTACCTGACAGTTAAATTATAACTGTCTTCGTTTCTTCTTCAAATTGGACAAAGACAGACACATGATTTAGGCAGCTTACCAAGAAGTTGGAATAATCGGCTCATAATCACAAAGTAATCTCAAAACAACATGTCTTTCCTGATATTTTTATATTAACGAGAAAACGTAAGAAAAACATGGATATTTATGGACATATACTGCTCCCAATTAATTTATTTCTGAAAATGGAGCATACTTGTAATTTAACATCGGTAATATTAATTTTTCTAAAATTATATATGATGAGACATCCATGTTTTGCAATGCGAATGCGTACGAGTTGAAATAGCTCGCGGAAAACAGCACCAGAACGAAACAACGATATTTACTTTATTCGCTACCTAAATTTACTTTAACTGCCAGTGAACTCGTAAATTCAGCGAACTTTATTACGCTCGCACTACGACACTATGAATCCATTACGGTCTTGTAATAAGCTTAAAAGGATTGTACGACACTCGTCATTCCAAACAGACGTTCTTTTCAGCTCTTAATCATACCGTATGTAATCTCTCGAATTTGGCTCCTTTATCGAATGATATCAGTAGCATAATGTTAGGTGCTTGCAAAAATTCGTATGATATTAGAGCCATTTTTATTTATTAATAACAATGAGATGATGCATAATATTTTAATTAAACCCATTGCTATCAATAACCTTTTACCGTTTTTCGGGCAATGGTTTGATCCCGCGGCGATAAAATGACTCGCATCTTTTGAGGCAATCGATTCACCGACCCATTTTCGCACTTTCTCAGCATTTTGGAGTATCACATAAATTATGCTGCACCCATCTGCTTAGATGAAAATCAGATGGAATGATATCTGAAGAGTACGCTGAATGTGGCAGGACTTCCCAATTTAACTCGTCAACGTCTCTTTAGCCGCAACATATGGCTTGGCAACATATCGCAAAGCAGAATGATTTTGTGCCAATCGCAACTATTTAAGGATATTTTTCCTTGGCTTGGTTTAAGCGGCATAATTGTTGACTGTTTGCCCAGGTGGTAATAGTTCATAGTAAAGCAAAATTCTTTTGGATATATAGGAGAACTTTGAATGATCGTGGATGTTGACGGTTGGCTGGGATCAATTCATGACTTTTTGCGTTTAGGATTGTCAAAATACATCCACTCTTCATCACTCGTAACTTTTTTCTGCATGGCAAGCAATGAGAGACAGATGGTAAGCCGGTTTGCAATTACACTTGCAGAGATTTCATGGGAAAATATATTTTCACAGAACGCAATGGAAAAGATCCAAAAGGAAGGAAGATGATTTTGTGTAAAAATATATATAATTTTCTGAAAACACATAAAGTGTGGATCATTAATGCCTCCAGATAGGTCCAACGCAAGATTTTACTTGTCCAGTGATTGACTTTTTAATTCATATTTTTGTTCTGGATACCGAATTCATGAAAGAATCCACCAATTGGATATTCTCTCAATTACATGTGTGTACATGCATACTCGTAGCTAGTATCTCTTGCACTTTGCGTGAACAAAATTGTCAATCATCAAATCACATCTCCCACTGTTCACAACTTTCGTTGAACGTGCGAATTGTTTTCGTGATTTTTCGTTGTGGTTTGCTTCAAATACAATTTCTATAGCGCATTCCAGAAGAACATGCGTAATTTGTCCGTCACGTAATGTCCACACGTCGTCACGCCAGCTGTTCTCATATACTAATACGGAATCGAGATAGATCGTATACATCAGCGAAAAATACTTTTCGCAAAATCTAATAATTTCACGTTTCTACATTATCGCCATCTTATCGCAGTTACATTACCGGATTAATTTTACCATGTAAAAAAAAATCGATAATAAATTTAACTCACGAAAGAAACGCTTCCAACAGTGTTTTATCGCCCGTCACATATACTGAAAAGTATTGATATAAAAGTTTGTATAAGGTCACAAATAGATGACTGTAGTAGCGACTTAATAACTGTTTTTCTTCAAATTGCTTCTTAGTTTTTAAATATTAGTCATAATTGAGAAGAATTGATAATTGTTGACAATTCATAATTTCGAACAAAACGTTAAATTTAATGCAATTAAAGATGGAACTGGATGAAGCTTACCACTATATGTTTTACCATTTTAATCGAGGTGAAACTGCTACAATAACTGAAAAATTTATATATGAGATAATATCATGTTCACTGCGAGAAATGGTTTAACAATAGTGATTATAACGTCGACAAGTCACGTTCTGTTCGTCCAAATGAGATGAAGAACAACGAATTGGAAGCATTGTTCAACGAAAACTCGGCTCAAACGTTAAAAGAAACAGCTGATGAATCCATAGTATTCCGCTATTTGAACGCAATAGGAAAAGAAAAGGAAGGAAGATGATTTTCTGTGAAAATACATAATATGTATTTTCACAGAACGAAAATGTTAAATGTCACCCGCATGCTCGATTGATAATCTTCTGCGAATTAGCAATTCATAGAGTCGTTTTATAGTATTTACAATGAGACGACAATGGAACACGACGAAGAATTCTGTATTGAATTTGCTGCGTGCGTCATAGTTGCGCACGAAAGCGACCATCGGTGATAACGACGCTCGTCAGTGATAGAATCTAATTAAACGAATCGGAAAGTAAATATGAAATCATCTTGTCTACATACATGAGTACACCGCGTCACTAGAATGACTCGATTAATACGTTATTTACTTCCGACCGACAGATGGATCAATTAATTTGTTGATCCACGCTGTGGAAAATCACGAAAAAGAACGACACACAAAAGCTGGACAGTGAGCATGCGATCTAAACTTATTGTACTCCAGTGAGTGTTAATCTTTTCGCGAGAACGTGATCGTTAAGCCTTGCCCTGCCAAGATAATCGGGAAGGGGGAGGGGGAGGGGAGAGCGGGTAACAGCAAATATGCATCGCCCGTATTATCGGTTCAATAGACGCAAAGCGTTCTCTCTTTCGGTGGGGTATTTCGCGGATACCACGCGGCCGTGAACGTCCTAGGGCGCGTGCAGACGCACGCGGGGTGCGTGACCCAATCACCCGTTCACTGGCAGCGCCGCGCGCGAACGGCGTGAATTCACCGCATCGAGTCTTCTCC